CAACCTCTATTTGTCAATTTTCTGTAATTGATTTTCAGTTTTATTGTAAAAGCAGTGAAGTTGAAAATGGACTGAACGTTACCTATACTTACCTATCCTATGCGAGGTTCTTTAATTTATTATAAGAACAAAATGTTAATCCTAAAATTGTACTTTTGTTAAATAAATAAATAAATAAATCCCAATTTTGTTTACTCTCCGTAATGGATTTTCAATTCTATTGCTAAAGTGTCAGAGTTAATATTTAATTAAAATAGGGAGGTAGCTTAGGATGCCTGTTTTATATACCTACAGGATTCAAAATGATAGCATATTGATCTGACTACCGTCGCTGTGTCCTTGGCTTAGATAAAATGTAGGTAAAATACAGGTTGTCGTAGTGGCTCGGAGGTTTAAGACTCCCGCTTCTCGTGTATGAGAATGAGGCTTCGTAACCTACCAACGGCCAGTACCAATGTGATTATTTCCGAGTTATAATGTACTTTCTAAGATTATTTAGACACCACTGACAAACGGTGAAGGAAAACATCGTGAGGAAACCTGGGCTTATGATTCCTAATTATAAGTTTGAAATCATTGAGCAAGCGTGGTGGTTAATGCTCTAACCTTCTCCGTGTGAGAAGAGGTCTTTGGTCAGCAGTGGCCACTTATAGGCTGTGGATGATTGATGATGAAATTACATAACAACTTATATCCTTACTAATCCTTTCTATTATATAATATTATAAATCGGAAAGTGAGTTTGTTTGTTCCACTTTCACGCCGTAACTACTAAATCAATTGCTTTGAATTTTTGCAGACATGAAGTTAGTAGTCTGGATTAAATAAATAATAGGGTACTTTTTATCCTGGAAAGAAATTGATATTCTCGAAGAAAAATGAAATTATTGGTATAGATGGCGCTGTGTATATTGGTATATGTCACATAGGCTACTTTTATATTTTTGTGACGCGAGCGAAGCCGCGGGTAATAGCTAGTATATAGGTATATATTGTTGAGCATAAGGTGTATAGAAATTATATTAATATGCTGCCTCGTTAGCTGAGAGGTCGCAAGTGCGACTGCCGGGTCAATGGATCTCAGGTTCGATTCCCGAGTCGGGTTATTACGGGTACAACTGGTACTTATTACGGGTATAACTAACTCAGTAGTAGCACGAATTTTAGAATTGTGCCCGGAATATGGCGATAGGCTCACCCTCTATTACATGGGACTCATAACATAAATAGTGAATCAGAATCAGAATCAGAATCATTTATTTGTTAAACATAGGTAGTTTACATAATAAGGTCTTACATATAAAGATAGTCCACTATGTTTTGCCGTGATAGACATACAAATATATTAGGTACATGCATTTGAAACATTATTAGAATATCAGAATTTCAGTTAAATTTGTACAATAATAATAAAATAATAAAAATAAGGTATGTCAAAATTATGTCAATTAAAATTATCAAATTTATCAGGAAATACATTAAAATTGTCAAGAAAAAATTGAAATTGTCAAGAAATAAATTAAATTTGTCAAAAAATATTATCATTAAGGAATTCTTCAATTGAGTAATAGCATTTGTTTAATAATAATTTATTGAGAATACTTTTAAATCTAATTACTGTTGTATTTTTTATTTCATTGGGAATCTTATTATAAATTCTAGGGGCATTACCAAACAAACTTTTGTACATAAGTGCTGTTTTACATTTTACTTGGCTTAGTTTATTAATATATTGGGTGCGTAAGGGAACATTCCTGCCTGAGCTCAATTTTGGAAATAAGTGAGGATTTTGTTTTACAAATACAGCTGTTTCCAGTATATACATGGAGGGCAATGTTAATATTTTTAGTGATTTGAAGTGTGCAATACAGCTGTCTGTGGTCTTCAGACCACACATTGACCTTAAACATCTTTTTTGCATTCTAAACACAAGCTCTCTATCTGTAGACTGCCCCCAAAATATAATGCCATAGCGTAATACCGAGGCAACGAATCCATGGTATGCTGCAAGAAGAGCCTGAAGGTTTACTTTTTTTGAAAGTTGGAAAAGCGCGTATGCGGATTTACTTAACCTTTTACATAACTCCTCAACATGAGGCTTCCAGCTGAGGACGTCGTCAATGACTATACCCAAGAACTTGGTTTTATTTGCTTGCTCGATACAACGGTTTTCATACGCGATTTTAATATTGTCTTGATGACGACGCTGATGAAAGTGCATAACCTTTGTTTTGTTTAAGTTAATTACTAAATTATTTTTGTTAAGCCAATTGATGATATCATATAAGCATTTATTGATCTCATTTTCATAGTCGAGTTCATTTTTACATTTTATGATGACTGTACTGTCGTCTGCAAATAGGACCATTTTGTGTGATGTAGTTTTCGGTAAATCATTAATATATATCAGAAAAAGTAACGGCCCAAGAACGCTGCCCTGAGGGACGCCATATTTAATATGTCTTCGTTTTGATAAATATGTCGTTTCTAGCTTACTCCTCGGACATAGCCTACTGATCTCCGTATACTGAATTCTGTCGCTGAGGTACGATTTCAAAAGTTGAAGGACGTTTCCTCGGACACCATAACTGTGTAATTTATTTAACAAGATATTGTGATCCACATAATCAAAGGCTTTAGTCATATCCGTGTATATTGCGCAAACTGGATTTCTTTTATCTACTGATGTTACAATATCGTCTAGGAAGTCAAATACCGCCATGTTTACTGTAGTGTTTTTCCGAAATCCCTTCTGCTCGTCACAAAATAAGTGGTATTTATCAAAATAGTCATACAGGGAGTTATATATAACTTTCTCTATAATCTTTGAGAGTATAGGTATCTTAGCAATTGGCCTATAATTTTTTAAACATGTTTTACTATCCCTTTTATGTAGTGGTTTTATAATTGTATTTTTTAGTTTTATTGGAAATATTCCATCTGTTATACACATGTTAATTATGTGTGCTAGATGTGGGGCTATTATTTCTTTTACGTGTTTAATAGCTTTTGTCGACGTTCCGTCATATCCTACCGTATTAGTATTTTTAAGATTACATATTATATTAATTATGTCTTTATCTGTTACTGATTGCATAAATAGTGAATTAGATGTCCAATTTATAGAATTATTATTATAAGAATTAATGTCATTATTAATATTATTTTCAATTTCATCAACAAAATAATTATTAAATTCATTAGCAATATCTTCTGGGTGCGTTACCACATCATCACCTTTTTCTAAGCATATTATTGACTCTCGTGGCATGCACAACTTTGACTTATTTATTATTTGCCAAGTAGCCTTCGATTTGTTTTGAGAGGTATGTATAAAGTGGTTATTTTGTGCTTTTTGGGTAAGTTTGATGATTTTTTTATATAGTTTTGTATATGTTTTTAAAGCTATTCTATTACTGTGGTTAGGATTTAATCTGTAAGTCCAAAGTAGTTTTCTTTGTTTCTTACTGCATAGTTTTATTCCATAAGATAACCATTTAGTTGCTTTGTTGGTCTTAATAGTTACAATTTTTTCTGGAAAACATAAATTATAAAGTAGTGAAAAATCGTCAAAAAAGAAGTCAAAGGCCTCATTGGCATTTTTGGCATTATATATTTCAGTAAAGGATAAACAGCTTAGATGGTATTTAAAATTTGTTAAATTTTCAATAGACTGATCCCGTTTTTTAATTTTCCAAAACTTAAGTTTACATACCTTATTGACAGGGACTTTAAGTATAATGGATGCATGATCCGACAAAATGAGATCTAAAACTTCAGTTTTGCATCCTTTCATGATATTATGGGCGAAATTATCGATGCAAGTCTGACTGCTTAATCTAGTTGGTGTAAAGAGTGTTAGCTGCAGATTGTATTGCTTTAGAAAATTTTTGAATTCCGAAGTAGTTTTATTATTTTTTAAAATGTCAATATTAAAATCTCCGCACAAAATTATTTTTTTGTTAAATGAACGATAAAAGTAAGTTAGTATTAAGTCTAATTTTTCATAAAATATTGAGTAATTATATTTCGGAACCCTATATAAACAAATAATAATAATATTATGAGCTGGTATTTCTACTGCACAGAACTCAATGACGCCCGAAACAGATTGTGATTGTGAAAAGTGGGTTACATTGTACAGTGGCATTAAGTGCCGTAATGTGCACCTCTGCCTATCCTTTTGGAGATAAAAAGCGTTATGTAAATGCATAAGAAAACACAATAAATTTTTGTCAATATAATTTATATTTAACAACAACAGTCAACTATAACAATAATAAAATGATATAACTTCACAAAGACATAATTACAATCCAAAGATATCTAGTTTTTCTTTTTATTTACAAAACTATTGTGATTGGGTCGCGTTGTGACCGTAGAATACTATTTGTCATCTCGTGTACAAAACAGAATCTAAACATACAGATAAATAAAATTGCCTGTCTGTCTTTATGTTTGTAATCTCTGGAATGGCTGAACCGATTTTGGCGGGACTTTTATTGGCAGTTAGCTGACGTACTAAGGAATAACATAGGCTACTTACGAGTTACGCTATACTCTTTCTCATTCATAAACATACATCACACACATACACTCACACACACGCGCAAACACACACACATACACATACGTCACTTACTAATATTTGTTTTCATTGCATTTTGCTAAGAAGTATAAACTGAGTCAAATAAACTTCAATTTCATTGTATTTCTTTATCACAATTATGTATTGTGTACAATTATTTTGTATAATCCCCAAGGGTAGAGGCACTGATTGCTGAAACACAGGTCATGAACCTAGTTCAGCAACAGAAGCTACAGCAAGGACACAATAACTGTATACATATATGAAATCTGTTACTGGCTCATATGTTTTAAACTGTGTAACTTCTTTTATTTTTGGTGAATAAAGTTATTATTATTATTATAAAGTTATTATTATTACTTTTTTGCATTGCTAAATTGAAACAAAAATAAAGTTATGTCCAATATGCTAAGCTAGTAAATAATAATAATGATCTAAGTACTAGTTTAATACAATATTTACACATATTTAATTTAAATTTTGCTCAAAACATGATCACATCTAACACACTTATCGCTATTATCAACAACATTATACTTTCTGCACCTCAAACACTGACCTTTTTTACTCTGTGACAACTCAACAAGCGAACTATTCCCGCCATTTTTTACTGTCAAACTGACAGCTGACAGTTCTAAAATCTCGCACAAAACGCTATCGTTTACACCATCGGTTTTATTTAGTACATTTAACTTATCATAAATATCGGAATTTAATACTATATTAGCTTCAAGCTTCTTCAAATTTTCATTCTTCGCTAAAACACATATTTCTCTTTTCAAATCCAATATGGCGTCCATCAATGACATATCTACGTCTTTTGGCGGCAAAATTGACAAGTCTTGAGTAAAATAAAAAGGTTTTTTATACAAAGGATGATATTGCCAGACTTCTTCTATTAGATGCGGCAAAATAGGCCCTAAAGCTTTGCATAGAGAGACTAGAATCGTGTGTACTACTAATTGCGCTGAGAGTCGTTCGTTGGAATATTTTTGGGAGCAATATAACCTGTCTTTTATGCAGTGGCAATACAAAGCTGAGACTTTGTTGCTTATAAAATGTAGTATACTCTGTGCTACATGGTTATATCTGAAATTATTATAATGCTCATTTATTTGGTTGACAAATATATCTGATTCTTTGACCATATAGCTATCGAAATAGTTAAGTGTTGGGATTTTCGAAAAATCGTCTATTTGAACGTCCGAAACTACGCCTAGGAGGTATTTCATAATGTTTCTTATTCTGATTAGTTCTGCTTGACAATCATCTAGGAGTTTTTTACTGACTACGATTTGGGAATGCTGCGTTGCATGGCTTGCTACCCACCATCTGGAAAAAAGAAGGATCTAATCAATATTATTTCATAACAGAGTTAAGCCAAGTGCGACTGCTGAGCAAGTAATGTCAAGTTCGACTTCCGAGTCGGGCAAACTTTTACTGGAGTGTTTTCGTCTGATAAAAGTCCTGTGAGTTATGACTTGAGTCATAATACAACCGGCGAAAAGTGAATGTTATATCTGCAATTCTGCACATCTGCCCACCTCTTGGAAAATACAGTGTTGTGCCCCGGGTATTAAAGTATAATAATACCAAATGTCATCGTAAACGGCCCGGTAGTTTTTGCGTGACACTTGAACATATAGACAGACAGACAGACAAATAAACAGTCAGATAAAAATGTTTTATTCACATTTTTGGATTCAGTGTCCGTCTAGTAACACCCCCAACTATTATTTTTTTAATATTTTCGATGTACAGAATTTACACTTCTACAGTTTTATTATATGTACACATATCTAGTGTAGTAGTTTATGTCTATTCCCATGAAACAATTGTGTGAGTTCATATATGTATTTATCAGATATCCAATACCCCCAGAAAACCAGTAACGTATTGATAAATCGTCTGGTGTTGTGCGGATTCATTGATTTTAAGTGTGGGAGAGCCATGCTTCGGCACGAATGGGCCGGCTCGACCGGAGTGATATACTGCCGGGCAGAAAACCGACGTGAAACAACGCTTGCGTTGTGTTGCGTCATGTGAGTGAGATGACCGGAGGCACAATAACCCCCCGCCCTCCCCAGTCTCCCCACTTCCCGAATCCTACACAATCATCAAATCACGCACACTTACTCCTTTCAAATTCTATTCTTTCAAATAAATTCAATTTTTAACTCTACAGTTTCGATATAAAGTCGAAAATTCAATGAAACAAACTTACCGAAGAGTATCAATGCCATAGGCCGGTTGGTTAGACCCCTTCCCACCTTTTATGATCGTTATGGGGTCTATCACGTTGCCTATAGACTTCGACATCTTGCGCTTCTTGTCGTCAACTACAAAGCCGTGGACGAATATTGACCTGGAAAACAGAAAAATATTAATCACTAGCAACCCGTCCCGGCTTCGCACGGGTGCAATACACATGTATTATACATATAAACCTTCCTTTAGAATCACACTATCTATTAAAAAAACCGCATCAAAATCCGTTGCGTAGTTTTAAAGATCTATGCATACATAGGAACAGACAGACGGCGGATAGCGACTTTGTTTTATACTATGTAGTAGTGACTAACTAATCCGAGAAACTTCATACCGCCTCAATTTCTGTCACGCCGTCCTTGGACTCCTACAAATAATACAAATAGACCAAAATTAACCAAATCGGTTCAACATTTTTCGAGTTCTAGCGAGACTGACGAACAGCAATTTATCTTTATATCCTCTCTCGCGCCTCTCGTACACACGGGTAAACGCGCGCCTCTCGTACACACGGGTAAACGAGCGCCTCTCGTACACACGGGTAAACGAGCGCCTCTCGTACACACGGGTAAACGAGCGCCTCTCGTACACACGGGTAAACGAGCGCCTCTCGTACACACGGGTAAACGAGCGCCTCTCGTACACACGGGTAAACGAGCGCCTCTCGTACACACGGGTAAACGAGCGCCTCTCGTACACACGGGTAAACGAGCGCCTCTCGTACACACGGGTAAACGAGCGCCTCTCGTACACACGGGTAAACGAGCGCCTCTCGTACACACGGGTAAACGAGCGCCTCTCGTACACACGGGTAAACGAGCGCCTCTCGTACACACGGGTAAACGAGCGCCTCTCGTACACACGGGTAAACGAGCGCCTCTCGTACACCCGGGTAAACGCGCGCCTCTCGTACACACGGGTAAACGAGCGCCTCTCATACACACGGGTAAACGCGCGCTTTAAAACTTGAATATATACGTCACAGAAAAAATATCCAATCGGTGCGCGGACCTCGTACACCCATGTGTACAATTGTGCGATGGGCACTCAAATCTCTCGTACACCCGCGTGTACGAGAAACACGCGAGAGGATATACATATGTATGTACATATAACTATAGATATTAGAACTACGTATAAGGTGTTTAAACAAAGTTTTATTTCAATTAATGTGACATTCAACCGCAAATCAACCGCCTTAGATTAAAGAAATCACCTGGTTACGATCTTATTACTGCAGAAGTTCTTAAAAACCTCCCACGTAAAGCCATCGTAAAAGTTACGACTCATATCAATGCAACGTTAAGACTTCAGTATGTACCTGATCAGTGGAAAGTTGCCGAAGTTATAATGATACCAAAACCTGGTAAACCACCTCACGAAACAACATCGTATAGGCCGATCTCGCTGCTACCGACAATGTCAAAATTATTTGAAAAGCTTCTTTTAAAAAGACTAAAACCCATCATAGAAGAAAGAAATTTGATCCCTGACTACCAATTTGGTTTTAGGGAAAAACATTCGACTATAGATCAAGTACACAGGATTACCAACATTATTGAAAAGGCTCTAGAAGAAAAAAAAGTTTGCTCCACGATCTTCCTGGATGTAGCGCAAGCATTCGATAAGGTATGGCACAAAGGCCTTATTTACAAATTAAAAAACATGCTCCCTAAGCAATTTGCTGACATCTTAGAGTCTTATCTATCACAGCGTATGTTTAGAGTAAGACATGGTGATGCATATTCAGGACTCAAACCAATAAAAGCTGGAGTACCGCAAGGAAGCGTCCTAGGTCCCGTCTTGTACTTATTGTACACTTGCGATATTCCTGAATTAGAAAACAATACCATTGCCACATTTGCAGACGACACAGCTATTATGGCCATAGGTGCCACTCAAGAAGAAGCAGTGGAAAAAGTTCAAACAGCCGTCAATATCATTTTTGACTGGACAAAAAAATGGCGTGTGAAACTAAATGAATCAAAATCTGTTCACATAGACTTCACAAACAAAAGGACAAATTACCACCCGGTAAACATAAATGGCCATGTAATACCATACGAAAATACAGCCAAATACCTAGGCATGACATTAGACGTAAAGCTTCGCTGGAAAGTTCATGTCAAAAAGAAACGCGACGAGCTAGATCTACGCTACAAGTCGATGTACTGGCTGATAGGAAAAAATTCTTCGCTGTCAGTGCACAACAAAGTTCTTTTATATAAACAAGTCCTCATGCCTGTATGGACTTATGGTATTCAGCTTTGGGGCTGTACCAAACAAAGCAATATCAAAATTATACAGCGTTTTCAAAACAAAGTACTCAGAGGAATCGTCAATGCGCCCTGGTACATTCGAAATGACGACCTTCATCGGGACCTCAAAGTAGACCTCGTCATAGATATAATTAAAAAGTGTGCAGAAGCCCATGAGCGAAGGCTTCACCACCATGTGAACATCGAGGCTATCCAGCTCCTCGACAACACGGACATAGTGAGAAGGCTAAAAAGGACAAAACCTTTTGAGTTAACATAGTGAAGTGTTAGTGTAAAGTAGTGAGTGCTACCGGCAAAGAACACAATAACAAAGTGTCTTCCCCTTAATAGAGACAATAAGAAAAGTGTTAATGGACACATTCTTAGTTATACTTTCCTAGCAAATTAAGACACAAAAAAAAAAAAAAATTAATGTGACCAATTCTTACTTGTTGGCCGAGTGTGTATTACTGGGTATTTCTATAAATTCTCAGTAGTAGCGGAAATGTGCCCGGTATATGATAATAAGCTTACCCCCTATTACATGGGGGTCATTACATAAATAGTAAAAAGTGGGTGTTACACATTGTACAATGGCATTAAGTTGTTCTTTTTTTACACCACGACGGTGGCACGAAAAGCCCGCGGTCCACCTGCTGGTAAGTTACCGTGGCTTATGAACGCTGGCAACACTTGGGTGTTAACAACAACCAGCAACACACATCAAGTGCCGTAATGTACACCTCTGCCTACCCCTTCGAGGATAAAAGGCGTGATGTTATGTTGTATTACACGGAACCCGTAACATATCTGTTAAAATTATTATCCTTGATAACATTGGAAATCCCTACACTTGCACTTTAGGGTTCCAGTGTGACTCGAAAATAGACGAGCAACCGGCACACTTTATGTAAATTGCAAAAACATTACTATCTTACCCATTTTTTTTTTTTGGTAGTGAAATATACAATAACTCACTTATAAGGCGCCTCCCCAGTCAACGCTAGCGAGGTAAGCAGTGATGCTTGGAACCATCCAGTCAACTGGTCCACTCCCTCAGAGTATAACCGAGCGGTGCGACCATGCAGGGTGCTCCATGATAGACCAGAGTCCAGCCATATGTCCATTATGTCCTGGGAATAACATCATTATCATAATCGGATAGAATGCTTGGTTTCGCTCTCAAGAATGTTGCTATAATCCCCACGTTTGGCTCCATCGTTTTTTTGAATGGGACAACTCCGCCACAATCTCCCAAAACCGCTGCATCTCCTGTAATCCAGGATCTACAGTAGATACAACTATGAAAACACCGGAACACTGAAGTCCGGCGCGACACAGGGTCATTTTTTTTTAAACTTTGCCCTACACTAGAATTTTCTCCTGTGTCGTGGGTGCGTTTACAAACATACAAGTTCACATACCCAGCCCCGGAACAACAATTTGTGGATAACACAAAGAGTTGTTCCGTGCGGGAATCGAACCTGCGACACGTTGCGTAGCATCACCAACGGTGTTGTCACATTTGGGACATAAATAACTGTTTTAATTCCAGCAACGAAATAAATCAGAAGATATTAACTCGTCGAGTACCGTCATTATAGACACAATTATAGAACAATAGGTTGCGGTCACCGGTGACCGCTTGGTGTTTGACAGTTTAATAGAGGAGAAGATATTAGTTTCTACTTCCCTCGGTTAGTTTATGCAGGAGACAGAATAACCACAGACCAATAAGCCACAGAGACTGCACGACTAGAAGAAGCCCAGTTAACTTCATCATCATACGTCAACAGCCTATAAACGCCCACTGCTGAGCAAAGCCTCTTCTCACACGGAGAATGTTCGAGCATTAAACCACGCTTGCTCAATGCGGGTTGGCAATTACAAACTTATAATTAGAAATTATAAGCCCAGGTTTCCTCACGATGTTTTCTTCACCGTTTGTCAGTGGTGTCTAGATAATCTTAGAATGTATAATATAACTCGGAAAAAGTCACATTGGTACTCGACTTTGGTAGGTTTCGAGCCCGCACCCTCATGCATGAGAAGAGGGTCTTAAGCCTCCGGGCCACCACGACATTTACCATCACCAGTAAACTTAATAAACCTTATTTTCTATCTCACCTTGCCTTTAGTAACATCGTGGGCATCCAACTTATGTTCTTTGATGACGTCATCGGGCAGTAACTCAGTGACGTCACAAGTCCACCACACGTCAGCGCCGCGCGACTCTATCATAGAGCAGAGCTTGTCTATGATGCGTCTGAAATTATTTAACTTTGTTTAACACTTTTTTTTGGTGATTTAGTATAGTATATATTTTTTTATGTATTTCGATAATGTTACAGATGCAACTACCAAGCTTGAGGTCGATTACTAAAGAAATTTCTAATAGGTTTTTTCTGTACATATAAAATGTTACTTACTCGTCCACGAGAACACTATCCCGATTATACAGTGCAGGTATAGGCACCCCCCACGCCCTCTGCCGGGATATACACCAGTACGGTCTCTTCTCCAGCTGGGCTCTGAATCCCTGCCGATACTGGTCACTGCTGGACGGTGGGAGGATTTCTACTTTTTCTAGCGCTGCCTGTTGAACACCAACGAATAAACTTATATTTTTTCTTTATTTTGAAGCATCGTTGACACACACTAGGATTTAATGTGTTTTTTCCTCGACTCGAATTGTGAATTCGACTTTAAGTTACGTGAGTAAGGTTGAATCTTCAATGACCTAAGCATTGTTCATAATAAAATTTATTTATTTAGTTTATAATCTTTTTATTAAAAAAAACGTTGGGATTGGGATTGGGACTGGGATTTTCTCCTGTATCGTGGGTGCGTTTACATACAAATTCACATTCACATGACACCCAGACCCGGAACAACAATTTGTGATTTACACAAAGAGTTGTTCCATTCGCGAAACCCGCGCGACAGTCGGTTGCCCAGCTACCGTACTACACTTGCAGTCCAAGTAGTAGTATTGTGAATACAACTTTAAGTAATGTGAATAAGAGCAATTTTGCATTGTCGTTTGTTTCGTTTTACTATAATTTTCCCTTAAACACTTGAAGACAGTTATGACTATATTTTTGTGGGGAATATGTGTCTAGTTTTTTATTAATGATCACGACTCACGGCTTGCGCAGCAACTAACTGCTTAGGTACTATTCCTAACCTTAAAAAAAAACATTTTTACTTACCAAAGCTTTATCCTTCAACGCGGCAGTATCAATGAACCACTGCTGGCTGGCTCTGATGATGACCGGCTTCTTCGTCCTCCAGTCCAGGGGATACGAGTGGACAAACACATCTCTATGCATGACGTCATCACCCAGTCTGGTAATCACCAGCTCCTGACCTTCAGATAACACTGGTAGACCATTTAACTCTTGGTCTAAGTTGGTGTAACGACCTGATTCGTCTACGTTGCATTCCTGGAGATTAAAATATTTCACTATAAAAAAATATTAGGATTTTTTGTCAATTTGTTAACTGCCAAAGCAGTGTCATAGATATAGCAACCTTTACTAAAAACCTTCTATAGAAGTAGGGTAAGTTCGCCTGTTCGTGTCGGCCCTACTAAAATTCCTGTTCGCGTCCGCACCGTGAATGTAAGATAAGAACAGTGAAAAATTCAAAAAAATGTGTACTAAATACTACTTATATGGTGATACTTTTGTTATTTCCTTTTTAAAGGGCGTTCCGAAACGTGACGTTCGTGATGACTAATCTTTATTTTAATGTCCGTCTGGTAGATTATTTTAAATCATTAGACACGCATTTTTAATTCTTTTACGAAACCGAATAGTTTCGAAGATATATGGTCAAAGGTCAAAAGTCCACTGCTACCGTAAGACAACTATCGGTTGCGCTGCAGCGCTTATACACACACACACACGCATATTTGTGTCCGTGTGCGTACGCGTGCGTGTGCGTGTGTTTATGCGTACGCACGCGTTTTTATGCACATTAATATGAAATTACTTTGTCATAGTATTTTACTTAGGAGCTTACCACAATCATATTATTCTTCAAAGCGACAAGGAAGTCTTCCGGTCCGTGCGCCGGCGCAGTGTGTACTAGCCCTGTCCCTTTCACGTCGGTCACGTGGTCCCCCTCCAGGAATGGTAATGTTTGGTTCACAAGCTTGTTATGGTAGGTCGTACCTTGTAGGTGTTGGCCTGGAATAAGGAATAGAGGAGTGAATTATGTTTCTGCCGCTGACGGAATCGATAGACGACAAATGGAAATTATAATCATTTTAGTAAGGTTGGGCAACTGGCTGCCGCGCAACGTGTCGCGAGTCCGATTTCCGCACGGAGCAACTCTTTGTGTGATCCACAAATTGTTGTTCCGGGTGCCGGTGCCGGTGCCAAAGCATGGCTTAGGTTAATGTTATGAAATGTTACGATCACCATTGAATTTTAGTGTTGATGAATGGAAAGTATAAATAAGTGTGGGAGAGCCATGCTTCGGCACGAATAGGTCGGTCTGACCGGAGTGATAAGCCGAGCAAAAGACCGACCGACCGAAGAACATACAAGTTCACATCACACCTAGACCCGGAACAACAATTTGTGGTGGTCTGTGCACACAAAGAGTTGCTACGTGCGGGAATCGAACCCGCGACACGTTGCGCTGCAGCCAGTGCCGGATTAGCCACGTAGCAAGAGTAGCAAATGCTACGGGCCCCGCGGATTGGAGGGCCCCGCGCTCAAATAGGTATTTAGTAATTACACCACTTCAACAACAAGACTTATGAAGAAAATGTTTTGTTTACAAAACTACTACCAAAATACAAGTAATTTGATTTTTTTTTCTTAACGAAATAAACGAAAAAAGACAAATAGTCAATATTTTGTATGTGTAAGAAAAGGAAAGTGAGTATTTGTACGCTTGGTTGGTGCCATTGGCGGGCGAACCGAGCCGACCCGAACTGATCAAATTCAAAAAACAATAATTTGAAACTGTACCACATTTTTTAAATTGAGCGCTAGTCACACACAAGTTAGGTATGTGTTAAATAAATTATTATGTTTTCGGCTTACTCACATAATAATTTGACGAGGAACTCGACTAGTTTCAAGTTTCAGCATTTCGCGACCCGCGACGCGGCAACTGTCGCGGTGCTATTGGCTACTCGAGTCTGCAGGCCAAGCGCGCCTGGCCCGCTCTGCCGTGATTCACGCGCACACGCCGCGTCGCGGGTCTCGAAATGCGGCTCATGAATATGAGCCTCTAGCATGGCTTGAAACTAGTCGAGTTCCTCGTCAAATGATTACGTGAGTAAGCCGAAAACATAATAATTTATTTAGTATGTCTCACGAAAGTACAATACAAGTTATGTGTTGTACTACTAGCACTGCACTAAACGCAAGTTGGTAACACTGTGTGCGTTACTCTGGCCAGATGTTGTCGAAAATGGTCATTTGAATCTTATAGATAACTAGCGGCCCGTCCCGGCTTCGCACGGGGGGACTTAAGATTTTTTACATAGTTTTACGTTTTATTTATATTTATTCTCAGTTTTTTTTTTTATTTAGGATGTATTTACCTTTTGAAAATATTTTTCCGGACTTCATTTACTTACTCCCATCACATTGCCTGAGTTTCTGTATAGAGCATTTTTGTATAACTTTAACTATATGCTCAGCGCACGCCACGGAAGGCCTCAGAAACGATACTTTTCCCCCGTTTTTAAAACATTTTTGGTTACTGCTCCACAACTATAGGACCTAGCGTGATATTATATAGCCTATGTTACTTCTGAATAATGCAGCTTTCTAATGGTGAAAAAATTATTGCAATCGGTCCAGTAGTTTTTGAGTTTATTCATTACAAACATACAAAAATACAAA